GCGAGACGGAAAAGCAAAATAAAACTTGGAACAGAAGCTAAAACACACCAATTATCAAATGCTATATGACCCTATCCCTGCAACATATACTTGGCAACAAACCCAACTGGGAATGCGGAAATGATCATCTACTCGGTTCTCGACTACAAATACCCCAAATTATTGCCCAAAAACAAGTCCATCTGCCCTCCCAAAATCAAGTTTTTCAATGCTGCCATCTGTGTACACCATTATAGCAACAATCAATCAACCATTGGAGTAATAAAATCATCCAGAGGTGACAAAATGGCAGATTTCTTCACCTCATATCTTTCCTTCCATCCTTCGTAACGCATCAGCCGTATTGAAATTGAAAAACTATAGGGACCTCACCAAAATTCCAATATTCGCGCACGTATTGTTCACAAGTCATGCTACAAACTGAGAAACCTTGCTCTTGCAACCTTGACGACATAGTTCAGCCAAGTCTCGAATCGAGATAAAATGAAGCATCAAAAACAGCAAATTATAAAGATTATTTTAGAAGTTAGCAATCCAAGAGCAAGGCTTCACTAATGTGGTCCAAGGCAACAGAATTTAATAAAATTTTATCAACTTTGAACAATGTAAGAAACTCTTGATGAATAAGATTCGAAATAGCAAGGTTCCACAATACTACAACAAAACCGGAAGAAAAATACTCAAACCTCATATGTCCAAATGAAACATCTTTATGCAAACAGAAGAAAACTCAGTCACGGCTGAGCGATTTTTAGAAAGAAAGACACTTAATAAGCCAGACCAGAACCAACAGCACAGCAAACAGAAAAGCAAAATTAAGCCTTTCCTAGAATTAGATTAGCTCGCTCCACCTAACAGTAATGTAAAATGAAGAAGAAAAAGAACCAAGGTATCTATGAGCTAAGACTACAATTACTTCTCCGAAGCTTAAACTTCGGATAGTTAAAGGTTCTCAGTAGCCAACTCGACCACTGATGTGATTAAAAGCTTACTGAGATCTATCCAGAAGCAGAACCCATGTCTGAAAAAAAAAAAAAAAAAAAAAAAAAAAAAAAAA